GCGGAGTGCTGCACAAAGCACGGCGGTCCTTGCCTGGGGCCCCCGTCTGTCTACACAGGAAGTGAAAAAAGGATTCTACAGCGGGGACACAAAGCCACACAACGAAGGAACATCTCATGTCTCTGCTCTGCGGGGGTCCGAAAAGTCACCTTTCATCTGAGTCTTCTCGGGACTCCCCCCGACAATATCCTCATCTGCTTTTCTCTCCAGAAGGACGGCGCCATCTGTAATCATCCAGCGTCATGAGATGCCGGCTCAGAGATGACAGAGACATGTAAATGACAAATGTCTGACACGGATCAGCCCCCTGCTGCAGCCTCTCACCTTGTGACTCAATACAAAGTTACAATGTTGCAGACTGATCACTGGGGGAGGGGGAGACTGAGGAAATGCTTCCTTCTGTCTGCAGCAGACTGATCACTGGGGGAGGGGAGACTGAGGAAATGCTTCCTTCTGTCTGCAGCAGACTGATCACTGGGGGAGGGGAGACTGAGGAAATGCTTCCTCCTGCCTGCAGCAGACTGATCACTGGGGGAGGGGAGACTGAGGAAATGCTTCCTCCTCCATGCAGGAGACTGATCACTGGGGGAGGGGAGACTGAGGAAATGCTTCCTCCTGCCTGCAGCAGACTGATCACTGGGGGGAGGGGAGACTGAGGAAATGTTTCCTCCTGCCTGCAGTGTGGTGTCTCTGCAGTCTGTCACTCATCCACTAGGTGGCGCCGTTGCTCCGTCCAGTCTCTCACGTTCGGGTTTTAATGACTTCTTTGCTCCGCCATTTATCAGACGTCAGCGCCTGCCAAGCCTCATCAGCATGGAGGATGTCACATCGCTTCCACGGTGTGTGATAACTGAGGGCAGCCAATCGGAGTCCGGCTTTTGCTGCATTTATCCCAGGTGTCGGCTCTGATTGGTTGCCGTGAAGTTCGATCAAAAAAACAAATTGGATGTGCGATAAAACTCCAACTTCCTTTCCCCCGAAACTGCAGCCCTGCCGCCAGGGGGGCGCCGCGGGTTCCTCACTGACCGACGATTCGTCTTCAGTCGCCGCGGAGAGATTTACGGAGTATTAAAAAGTCTGATAATGAATAAAAACTGTAAAAGAAATTAAAAAAAACCTGAAGTTTATTCCGCGTATATTTCACTTCCCCGCTTCCCCTCCCCCGCTCGCCAACATGATAACGATATTGTTCTATATTGTCATCACCGGGTCTCTCTGCTTCTCTATACAATGCAGGCAGATCATGGTTGGTGGGAGGGGCCTGCTGGGTGCCGCACACAGCTTCCTGAAAAACATCCCAGCACCCGGCCTCTGTACATCTCTCAACAGCCATTGCTGCAAGAAGTGGGCCGGCTCTAGGGAGGAGTTATGCAAATATCAAAATGCCTTGATAAGTGGATATCAGTCTGGAGGAGTGGGCGTTCCCAGGCAGGCTGTATTTGCATAGGTAACACCCACATGTGACGCTGAGCCTCCATGATTGACAGAATTGAAATCCAATGAATGAAAGGGGCGGGGATGCCTGACTGTCCCTGATGCAAGAGCCCTCATCCCTGATGCAAGCAGTGGGAGGAGTTATGCAAATCTGAAAGTGCCTCGATGAGAGGGTATCAGTCAGGAGGAGTGGGCGGTGCTAGTGAGGATGTATTTGCATAGGTAACGCCCACATGTGACGCTGAACCTCCATGCCTGAAATGAACCAATGATGCCATGCGGGTCACAGGCAGCCCCGCCCTCCCCCGGGGCCGGTTCACTTGGACATTTCCAGAACCCAAGTTTCTGTCAGGATTCAGGGACCCTTCCCCTCCTCCTCAGTTCACTCATCACCAATCACAGCTGATTTATGTGGACACCAACACTAGGGGGCGCACTCATGAAGCCATTCATTTTACATTCACCACACATTGGCTGCAGGTGAAACTTCCTGGTGAATGTGTTTGGACGGACAGCGACTGATTCACCACCAAACTACATTTGCCGCCAAAACTCTGCCCGTCTGTATCGCTCCATGTGCCTGTTAGAGTGCAAGCTCTGTTCATTCAGAGT